GGGGACATTTAATTGTGGCTTAGCTCCTCGTTGTCAGGAAAGCTATGGGGCTTGACCTGATATCTGGCACAAAGCAGAGGTGTTCTGACACTAGAGTTTGATGTTTGCTTTTTTCTCTTGGCTTTGGTAGAAGTACTAAGACAAATTTTTGAGCAGTAGAGCCCATGGGGAGTGTTTAGAGCAGCCCAGTCTGTCTTAGTAGCAACAGTAGGCAAAAATCTCTTGCTCCTAAGCTGGAGGAATCAAGCCCCTCCAAGGCTAACATGAGAAACCCCTGAGGGTGAAATATCTAGCTAGATAAGGGAACAAGTAAGAGAAGTACAAAATAATGACTTTTTAAAATCTGTTTGGTTTTCAATTTACAGCAGCTTCTCTTTAAATATAACCAGGGGCATCAAACTCGCCTACACAGACCAGATTTGAATGCAGTGGCAGCCTCAGAAATTAATGCAGCCATCACTCCCCTTCCCCACCCCCACCCCCCTCAGCTGCCACCAACACACATCGTCAGCTGGGCTTGCTGGCATTGTCCCCTCTTGCCCAGGCCCCTCTTGGAGCCCAGTGGGCCACATGCCACAGCCATATGTTTGATACCCTCACTTGAAACAGTGCAGAGAGTACAAATGACTTGGGTGTAAGCTGTTTTTTGTTGCAATTGCTAGCATGCTGGTAGGGAATTGGATGGTGCATTAGTGCTAGAATACTATGCAAAATGAAATTAATAAGGTTGGAAATTAAGGGCTAAATCTGCGTAGATGACTTTCTTCTAGTATTCTTTAAAATTAAAGCTTAAGTTTCTCTTCAGTATTTCATTGAATTAGTTATTAAAATTGCCAATTTAAAAAAAAATGGGTTTTTTTTGAAAAGCAGATAGGACATATACACAGTTCATCACCATTCTCATGATATCAGTGAAACAGAAGTCCACGGAAAGACCTGAAAAAAAAAAAAAAAGTCACCTCGGTAGTAGTGGACTTATAGTTGAAATATTCCTTTCCTTGCAGCAATGTAATCACCTGAATACCAGATTCAAGCTAAAATAGTATTAAGCTAAAATTGTTCAGTTGAAACTAAGTTACAGAAATGGCTTATGCCAGAAATATGTATTGTGACTTAGGTTGCTTCCTACAAGAAGTGTTACAATGACATACTTTAATACAATATTTTGTCACTGCTGCATTCATGAATTTATTTTAAACAATTTAAAGTTTAGCTACAGTGAGCTGTGTAGATCATGCGATAGATTGGGAGTGGCCAGCTTCTGAGTTACGGGGAGAGGGTGGCAGAGCGGGGAGAGGCCAGAGTGGCACTTGGAGAAGGGCAGGGCTTAACTTGTGGTACGCCTGCTAAAAAGGTTGTCCACTAGTGATAGACACTCATGTGCTTCTCATGGGAGTCTTGCGCCTTTAGTCTGACTCATGCCAGAATTCTTGGCACTTTTTTGCCCTTAGTATATATAGAGGTGCCTCAGAAGAGCCAGATATTTCATGTAGTTAGATTACTAGCCTCCCTGTGAAGATAAGAGGTTGCAAACTAATCAGGCATATCATAGAACAGGGATGGGCAGCCTGCAGGCTGGCAGTGGACTCCATTTCCCAGCAGCCCCTGCCCGCGTGGCTGGGGCTGGTCTATATGGAGATGCCTGTGCTGTGATAGTGCAAGGCTGGGGTTGCCATGGAGACTGCCCCCAGCCATGCTGGCAGGATGCAGAGCAGGGTAGGGGGCTTCTCTGGAGCCACTGGGATCTTGCGGCAGGGGCAGCTTGGTCTGGGGCCAGGGCAGAGCTAATATCTGCAGTCTGCATGCTCTGGGCAGGGGTGAGCAGGCAGGGGATCATGACTCTGCCCCAGCTCCTGGTCCAAAAACAGCTGATTGTCGATTAATGTCAATTTTCCTTTTATTGGTACTGATCTGGCGCACCTCTAGAAGACAGTCCAGCTCCCCTTCAGGTAGTTGAAGGCTGCTATTAAGCGCCCCCTAAGTCTTCTCTTCTCCAGACTAAATAAGTCCAGTTCCCTCAGCCTCTCCTCAGAAGTCATGTACCCCAGCCCTTGAACCATTTTCCTTACTGAATGTAAGCAGAATTGTAGCAGGCGGCTGTGTGAGACCACGCAGGTGCACCAGCTGGTTGTGAAAGCTTTTCTACCTTAAAACGTGCCACTTCTCTGGTCAGCTGCATGGGACCCCAGCTGTGCTCCAGCTGATCCACAGAGCAGCGCCCTTTGAAGTAAAGACCTCAGCAAGCAGCTGTGAGTGGCTTATTCTTAATTTGGCAACCTGCTGCAAACTATGTGGGTTGTGAACCACCCAGATAAGAAAAAGCTGAGTTTGACTGAGCTGCCACTTCATTCATCTCTCTGAGCATGCTTCCTTGTAATTTTCAGGTTCTGCTTAACTGTTCAGAAGAGTTTTTTGGTTAATCCCATTTTGAAAGGTTTCCATTAGAAAGTTTCCAGTCTTCCAAGATTTCCAGAGTTGAATCATGCTCAGAGGAAACTAAAACTGACCAGCTTACACATCTGTAGGAGGACTGGAAAACTTGATAAATGAGTGTATAAGACCAGAGAAAAGAAGGGATGTAAGGACCTCAGGCGGTCTAGGATCCTCCCAGGGCAAATGTCCATCTAAACTGCTTTTGAAATCTTCCAAGGCTGGAGATTTCTGCAGCTTCTCCAGGAAGCCGATTCCAGTGCTCTTCACCCTCACGAGAGATTTCTTCCTAATAGTGAACGGAGGCTTTTCCCTGCTGTAATTTAAGACCGTTGTTCCTTGTCCTTTCCCTTGCGGCCACAGAGGAAAGTTTGTTTATTCTTGCTTGACTCTTGGTTCTTGTTTGACACGCAGCCCAAAAAATTGGTCCTAAAATCGTCTAAAGAAGCTGACTTGAAAAATGAGTAACCGTTTCATAAGTAAATGACAGCTTCATGTTTGTTAGGAGCAGCTTAAAAAAATAGGGGAAGACCTTTCTTCCCATAATTTGTAAGCTGTAGACATTGTTTCCTAGTTGAACATCTTTTAACTGTTTTGTTTTGAATGTCATAATTGCATTGTGAATATGATGTTTCAGGGTGCTTTAATGTTTGTGCTCAGGGTCATGCCTTATTAATCAGCAGTCTTTTGAGATCATTTACTCTTTTTGAGGAGCAAACATTGCTTTCTTGTGTCATATGTCATTCCCTGGCCCCTTATGCTCTCCAGGTCTGTTATCCCAGTCTGCTTTTGTCACATAACTAAAATTAACTTTAAATATGCAACCTATAAGTATTATTAGATGATTTATTTCTTATTGTACGTTAGTTAGTAATACTCAGATTTTTAAAGTCAGAAAGTACTATTATATTACTGCCAGATATTGATACTATTAGATAATATCCGAAAACTAGCGATATGGATCAAAATGTAAGTAGTTTTTTTAAATTGCATCTGTAACACTGGATATAAGAATGCAGTGCAGTAATTCTGTGCATTTTCTGGTGATAGTGAATATAATCATAAATATGAAATTCTAATGAAGTAAAAATAAGGCACAGAAATAAACTATCAAAATAATAAGAAATAATTTGAATGAAGGTTGATGTCTGTGTTACTGGACTCTGCTTGATCTAGCAAATCCAGAATCGTGCATATGTGGTAATAGAGGAAGCATTTTTTTTCATTTGAAGTACTTTGCAGTTAGCTTGGTAAAGAACCATTAAAATGGAAATATTGATATGCTTTTCTAATTTTTTTTAATAGCTTTAGAATTTTAGTTGGACTTTTGCAAGGCTTTTATTTCCAAAGCTGTCGAAAGTGATTGATAAAGGGAAACAAATAGGTTTCTGTCATATATCCATCCCTTGACAAATGCATGTAGTTTGAAATGTACGAGGATGTTTCTAAAGTAACAGGTTTTGAAATAATACAATTTTTGTGTGCCATGCTCATTTACAACTGTGTAGAGAAGTGATATGGACCAGTAAGCAATGAGCGCATTTCACAATGCTGCCTTCAGTGTTTGCCACTGTTGTGTAGTTTCCTTCTTGGTTGCATACATATCGCTTGGGCAGCCATTTTGCCATTAGGTTGCCATTATACACCCACATTATCCTTGGGTTTTTACTAGTAACTTAGTAAGTAAACTCTTTTTTTAAAACCATTTAACGCAGGAGTCAGTCTCTCCCTAGGCCCATGGTCAGATTCAGATCACCGGGGCTCCTGGGCTGGAACCATGGAACCTGCAGCAGCTGCAGTGGGTTCACACTTGGGCAGAGGCACATATCCGGGGGCATGCACCACTGCAGGGCTGCATTTGGGCAGTGGCAGAGGTCTGGGGACGTGTGGCATTGCAGGGCTGTATTTGGGTGACACTGCATGGGGAGGGGGGGCCTGCTGCCGCCAGGCCATATCCATCAGGGACCTGTATTCTGTGGTAGGCCGTACTCTTCACTTCATGCAGGCCAGATGGAACAGTTCTGCAGGCCATGTGTTTGACTACCCTAATATAAAACATTTTCATTAATACTTTAGTAACATCTTATACAAAGGAAGACCAACTCTTTCACCTGTACTGCCAGTTAAGGTGCTGGAGCTCACGGTGGACATCCCAAAGAAGATCCAGCAAAATGAAGGGGACACCAAATATGACCCTGAACTGATTTATAAAGGTTAAAAAGAACAGGAATGAAAGGAGGAACATCCTCCTCCCCATTAGGACAAGAAACACAATTTAAAACAATTTTGCAAGCCATCTTTTGAATGCAAATGAAATACTGACCATTTACTCTTTTGAGGAACAAACATTGACTTCTTATCTGCCATACAATTTCATCCCCCCCTTACCCTACTTTCCCAGGCCTGTTGTCCACATTTTGCCTTTGTCAAATAACTAAAATTTACTTTTAAACTTATAATAATTTAAACAGTATTAGATAATTATTTCTTATTCGATGTTAAACAATCAAGGTACAAGATTTGAAGGGGAAATATACTAAGTGGTTTTTTTCCTTTCTTTTTTTCTCCAGACTTCTGTGAAGAGAGATGCAACTCAAATTACAGTTAAAGAAGACAAAGTCCATCTATTGAAATACAATATAGGGGATCTAGTCTGGTCAAAAGTGTCTGGTTTCCCATGGTGGCCATGTATGGTTTCAGCTGATCCTGTTCTTCATTCCTACACTAAATTAAAAGGTATGTTTCAGTTGCTGCAAACATCTTTCCTCCTTTCAAGTGTGTGGAGATGTTAATTTCTGGGAGATTCAGAACTTTATTAAGTACATTCTGAAATCTTGATATGTTAAATGAAATCTTCATACCAGTCTGTTGTCTAGAAGGTGATTGAAATAGTTTTCACTTTGTGGTGGCCTCATACAGAGTCTTACAGTAATTAACTGCCAATGGCTACTTTGTCCCTTTTTAAAAAATGAGAACTTTTTTTGAGACCTTTATATTTCAGGGCTTTTTTTTTCTCAGGGGTACTGTAGATGAGTGCATTCAATGTAAACTTTCCTAAAAGCTTATTAGTAGCATTTTAGAAATGATAAATGACTTAAGTTTCACTGATGGTTAGTAGGCAGACAAGGTTCCTTGGGTGAATTTGATATCTTTTATTAGACCAACACAAATAGTTGGAGAATAGTTATTAAGCAAGCTTTCGAGTTCAAAAACCCTTCATCAGGCTAAGGAAGTTTCAGCAGTTGGTGTGTGCTCCTCCTGGATGGAATGAAAAGCTTGTTTAATAACTATTCTCCAACTATTTGTGTTGGTCTAATAAAATATCCCAAATTCACTCAAGGAACCTTGTCTGCCTATGTCCTTAGACCAACACGGCTACAACCTACACCCCTGCACTGATGGTTAGTGGCATTTAGATTTTTTGTAAGTGCCTCACTGATGTTTGACAATTTTCCTTGTTTATTTAAGTCTAATTTAATTTAAAGAGCTGTGACTTGGTAGCAGTGCATCAGCTATCTTGCTGGTACCCAAAGAAGTTTTGTGGCTTCTGGAAGGCGGAAAATTCTGGACCTTTTTTTTTACTTTTGGCTGAGCAGCCAAAAAGTGCTGTCAAATTGAGAGTGACAGTGGAAGTACCCTGGACTGTACTTCTGCTTGCTCGCAGGGAGAAAAAAAGCTGGCAGCCATTTTGCAGCATGGTGTCTTCAGACTTTTAGTCTGTCAAAGAAAGTCGGCTTCCTTCCTTAAGGCATGCGTCCCAATAATGGAGGGCTGAGTTTTGGCAGGAAAAGTATGTGCAGTATGCAAGCAGATATGGATAGTTCCTTTTCATTGTGGCAGGAACATCAGCGAAGCCTTGCCTGGGTTTTGTCTGGCTGAACAATCTTACTTCTCTTAAGAGTGTGGCAGAGGAAATTATTTAGCAGGCAGAAATTGACCAATAAGTTACTCTATAGTAGAGGTGCACTGATATATGTTGGTCTGTATCGTATCGGCACTGATAAAAGGAAAATTGACATTATCAGCAATTGGCTTGTTTTGGCCGGCATAGCTGATAATGTCACTGATAAATGGCGTGTGAATGTGCGCAGCCGCAGCATGCACGTGGCCAGGAATGCAGCCGGGCAGCTTGGAGAGCAGCCTCCTTCCTGCTGGTAGGTCTGTGGCGGGGAAAGAGGCAGGAAAGAGAGAAGAGGTGTGTGGGGGGCCCAGATTGAGGCCCCCAGTGAGGGAAGGAGGTGGGGCAGGGGCAGGCACTGCCCAGTTGGGCTGGAGCTGCAGGGCACGTGGAGGGGTGGGGAGAAGGGGGCAGCTCCCATCGGCTGCGTGCAGCCCTGGGGAGGCATGGGGGGCATGTGACCCCTGCATGAGCTGTGCCAGTGTCTTTCCAGTAAGGGGCTGGGCAGGGGCTGCACTCAGAATGGGCAGGGTGGGCAGCAGCACCGGGAGGGGGGCTGTGGCGAATTTTGGGGTGGCTGTAGTCCAACCCGAATTCCCCCCCCCCGGGTTTCCCTGACCCTCATCACTATGCCAGCTTAGGAACAGATCCATCGCTGTTACAGGGGTAACACCTCCCGGTGCTGCTGCCCATTCTGAGTGCAGCCCCAGCCCAGCCCCTTACTGGAAAGAAGCTGGCACAGCCCATGCAGGGGTCACATGCCCCCCATGCCTCCCCAGGGCTGCCTGCCATGCCCCCACTGGTCCCAAGCGCAGCCCTGGCCCAGCCCCCTGCTGGGAAGAGGCTGATGCAGCCACTAAGCCTGCAGCCCACCCTCACCCTGCACACAAATTTGGGGGGGATACATGCCCCCCATGCCTCCCCCAGGGTGCGGGCAGCGGTGAGGAGCTGCCCCGCCCCGCCCCCTCCCTGTCCCCTCATTTCCCGTGGACAAGCCACTTGCAGTTCTGTCTTGCACCTCTCCCTGGCTAGGCAGCGCCTGCCCCAGCCCTAGCCCCACTCTCTCCCTCGCCATGGGAGCCTCTTTTCAGCCTCCCACACCCCTTTCCTCTCCCTCCCTCCCCCCCTACAGACTTACCGGCTAGACAAGCTGCAGGGCTGCATTTTGGCAGTTGAAGCGGTATTGGCTGATATGGCTGGTTAATAATCTGTATTGTCCAAAAAAATCTTTATCGGTGCACCCCTACTCTAGAGTTAAGATTGCATATTATTTTTCATTGTGGCCCCAGGTTTGGCTCTTCTCTTAAATCCATGGATTTGCTAGCCTCAGAACTGATGTGGAAGTAAGTTTTCTCTGGAGCTTGAAGTAAATCTGAAGGGGTGGGGAGGGTCCAAAAGGGTGAGAACAGGAGGATTCAAGGAGTGTGAAAAAATTGTTATCGTTTTTTATCCCTCTTTAGCAAGTTATATGTTTTTCCTCCTTATTTCTAGTTTATGGGAAATTCCCAAGCTCAGGTCTTTGTCCAGTACCACATTTTAGCTGATTCAGCTACATTTGAAAAACCTGATGTTTCTATGGGGCATCCGTGCTATCAAGTTTATACGATATGAAATCGTTCCTAGAGGAAATCATTTTATACAGAGAGAAAATCTGGTCCTTTGTTGTACCAAGAGAGATCTTGAGAATGTAAACTAAGGATTAGGAAAGCATGCCGGTGAAAGAGTTTGTTCATTTTGTGTAGTCAAGGAATGGTTTTCAACTGTTTGAGACTCAAGGGCCCCCTTCAAAACTTGTTGAAATGAGGTGCCATTCAGTTCACAAAACAAATTTACTTATTACAGTGCTTACCGCCTGATTGGGTGGTGGAGGGGAGAGAACCAAGTTGAAAATCTTTTCCATTAAAGGTACAGAGTCTCTTACATGCACAGCCCTGGCAGATCATGCCAGTTATTCTGTTTCTTCTCATGGATTTCAGTGCACTAGGGATCACATCTCTCCCTTGGTTTCCTCTTTGCACCTGTGAGAGTGGGACAGAACCCAGCAGTTTCCTGACCCACTACTATGTTTAGCAATATAAACTCAGTTTTAAGGGCTCACCTTGACAAAGCTTGTCTTTTTTGTCTTGTTTTTCACTGATGAGATGGCCCGCTATAAGTCATATTCCCCACTGACATCTTTTCATTGTTAGGCCAAGTGCTCTGCCCAAACTACAATATCTTGTATCAGTCCTAAGTTATTTGCATCCAGTCCATGGTAGTCTGATAATAGACTAATTCCACAAAGAGCAAATGAAAGGGATGTCTTCTGTATTGGGGTAGTCACATCCTGGTCATGTGCTCTGTCCACCGTATAGCAGGGGTCAGCAGCTTGTGGCCTTTGGACCAGATCTGGCCTGCAAAGGTCTGATGCAGTCCACATTTTACCAAGGGCATGCCAGTCCCTGTGTGTTCCAGTCTGTTTTGCTAATGGTTGCTGATTTTGATTCCTCAGCCCTAATCTATCTAAAGGGCTGGTTTTTCCTCACTGCAGCCTCTGTTCACTATCACTGAAAGGACCAGAGGGAAAAGGTGGCCTGCTGGTAACAAATTATGGCCTGCATTACTAAAAGCTTGTTGCCCCCTGCTACATGGTATTGCTGCTCAAAGAAAAGACACACACCTCTGCATCCATGCTGATGTACTGTTTTCTGGGGATAAGTAGAGATGGGTCTTTTTACCAGGAATGGAGACCTGGTAAAAGTGCCTTTCATGACATTTTGCTTAAGTTATATTAGTCTTGCTGGAGACTTGCATGTGTCCAGCAGCTGATCCCAGTCCATGGATGTTAAAGTATTCAAAGACTGTCACATTGCAGAGACCCTGGAATTGACACTATATTCATGCAAGGGGAGTCCCATAAAGTTTTTGGCATGTTGAGCAGCATAGGTTCTGGTCAGAATAGCTTTCTGTGTCAGTGAAAGGATCCTGAAATCAGGTAGATGGCTCTGGCAAACTGTATTCTGTTCTTTGTACTTCAAAGTGAGAGATACCAAAGAACCTTGGAGTAGCATGTAGGAAAGAAGAGCTGAAAGGGACTTCACAGTGCCATCTAGTCCAGTTACCTGCTCAGGACAGAACCATCCCTGCCAATTGTCTTTCCAATCTGCTTTTGAAAATTTCCAGGGGCAGAGAGTCCACAGTTTCTCTAGGCAGCCTGTTCTGGTGCTTGAGCCTGTTCATAGTCTGAACGGTTAATCTTCAGCCTAACTTTCCCCTGCTGCAGCTTGAGACCATTTCTTTGTCCTGTCTTCTACAGCCACAGAGAAGGCTCATCTCCGTTCTGTCTTTAAATCACCATACAGGTGTTCGAAGACTGTTATGACCACCCGCTTTCTGTCCCCCCAGCCTTTCCTTCTCTAGACTAAATAGCTAAATAGCTCTTTCAGGCTGTCTTAGCAAGCCATGCTTCGTAGGCCTCCAGTCATTTGGATTGCTCTGGACAGGACTCTTTCCAGTCTGTCCACATACTTCTTGACGTGTGGGGCCCAAAACTGGGCACAGTACTCCAGATGAGGCCTCACCAGTTCTGAATAAAGCAGAAGAATCACTTCCCGTGGTTTGCAAGTGACACTCATGTTAACACAACCTAGTGTGCTGCTGGCCTTTTTGCAACAAGAACACATTGTTGGCTCATTCAGCTTGTGGTCTGCTGTGTAGGGATGGCCAGCCTGTGGCCCAAGTGGCATGGGCAACCTTTATGTGAGACACGCAGCAGATCGGGGGCAGGAAGGACAGCAACAGATAGGGAAAGGAATAGAAAGCAGAGGAGGAGATTGTGCTCCCTGCTCTGAGTAGGGAGTAGAAAGCAAAGCAGGAGTTTGGGGATCAGAGTGGCAGTCAGGGAGGAAGCTGGGTTACTTTGTGGCATGCCTAGCAAAAAGGTTGGCTCCTACTGGTCTACCGTAATACCCAGGTTTTTCTTTGCAGTGTGCAGTTGTTCCCCAGTCTGTATTTGTACATGCAGTCATTCCATCCCAAGTGCAGGACTTTGCACTTGTCCTTGTCAAGCACTTCTGTGTTCCAGATCAGGGCCCATTGTGTTGGCAGCGCATGGGAATTCCAAGCTCGGACACACGCAAAGGGTATTATTTCCATGCGTTTGCTAGAGAGAGCTGTAGTATCAGGTCCTGTTAGTAATATACAACTTTCTCATCTGGGAAAGGATCACTCCTTACCTGCCAACTCCTGCAGGATAGCAAGGAGAACCTACAAAAGTTAGCAGAAGAGCTTGATTTCTAGAATGTATTTACCCACTGCCATGGATTCGTTAGATTGACCTAAAGGTAGGTGGCTGTGCCAGTTGTGATGAGGTGAGCCTCATGGCTTTTAGGTGTCTGGCATACACGCACATTACAAACCACTATAGGGGACCTGCACTTTGAGGAACTGGAGTGTTTTAGCTGAAGCGCTTCATCCCCCTCAAAGGCTCAAAAGCCATGCTATATACCAGGACCTCATATTAAGCTAAATAAGTATTAGCAGAGGTATGTGTCCTACCTCACACATCAACAGCCAGAGTACTTTAGAAAGGACCTAGGTATTCCAGAAAACACCTGTTTTATATTTCTTCAACAAACCTGTCTCCTCTTAGAAGCAGCAGATTTGACAGGAGCATAAAGAGTCACTTTCCTGCCTTGCCTTTAGGACACCACTTACCTTTTTCTGCTAATATTAGGCATTGAAGTCTTTGCCCAAGATCTGCCCTATTTATTTTTACTCATTGCTTCTACCTATACCTTTTTTCCTTATTCTCCAAGGTGGTTCCACCGCTTCGTGCCACGCCTTCCCCCGCGCCCCCCTCTGTAATAGAGGTCCCTTGTTTTATCTAGATGTGGGGGGGTTTTGTACCAACTGTCAGACCTCATGGTAGAGTCTAAGCTGTCATTTTTTAACTTTTTGATGAGCAGGCGCACATTTTTTTTGTTTAGAAGACAGAATACAAGGGAAGAGGCTTAGATTTCTGCTATTTCTTTTATCCTGAGGAATAATGTGGGTTTCAATCCTGTCCTAGACCTGGGGACCGTGGAGCATGTGTTTAGACGCTCTAGGATTTGTGGTGGGTTCTGATCTTCGGTATAAGTTACCGTCATTTGGAATTCTTTGAACTTAAGCGCCTAAAAGTAGTAGCAGCCCATCTCAGGAGAGAGAATATTACTTCTGACTGGATCATTGGCTGACCAGTAATCCAGCTGTGGATGTGTCCCCCAGGCCTCTCCTGTGTGCTTTTGTCCAGCTCTCCCGATTCTCAGATCAAATGAGACAGTCAAGAGCATCCTGATGATCTTCCTAACTGAACATGGTTATTTTTTTACTGAGTGGTCTTCCTGCTGCTGTTGTGCAGTCCAGAAGAGTAACTGCATTGCAAACACTTGTAGTTGATCCTTCTTGCACAGCATTTATATTAATATAATAGGGCTAAAACCTCACCCAAAATTTATTCCAGGGTAATCTTGGGATTTATCTACATCAATCTCTGTGGTTTCTTCTACAAGTGATACTCTGCATCCTGAGAGAAGAGTTTGCACTCTGGATATTTCCAGATCTTATTCCATTGAAAAAACCAAACAGTTCAAATCAAATCAAGCCACCCAGTTCCTGTATGTCTCTCTCTCTTTCTCTGGCCATTATAAATGTCAGTCTGTCTCATCTGTTTAACAGTGTGTGGCAGTCCAGCGCACCTTGTTTTCTTCATTACCTTTCCTACTGAATATCATGGCTCACTCCATCATTAAGTTTAGAGAACTGAAAACACTGCCTGGTTCATAAATATGCTTGTCAGAAGTGTAAGGTGATCACATAAACCGTGATACTAGTCTTTGTTAGCATTTCATCTTGTATTTAGCCACCAAATCAGAGACCAGTTTTGGGAAAGCAGTACTAGAATTCCTGTTCGGTTCATGTAACTGAAACTCTTAATTTCACCTCTTGACAGACACCCCAGTATGATCCCCTTCTAGATAAAACAAGGGACATCTGTTATAAAAGTAATAGGGAAAAAGCATCCCTGGTGTGGAAGGAGGAATGGGATGGTTGGAAATAATGAGTAAAAGAAACAACCCTTACTTAACCTACAGCAACCATGGACCATTGGGATGTAATCAGGGTGGACCCCATGACTTGCTTTTTCATTTCTACTGTTTGTACTCCTCAGCTGTTGTACGCTTTCATTTGCAAGGGAAGCAGGGGAAGGTTGCAACCATTTTATCCTTTGACTTTATACAAGAACATGAGGAGGCAAAGGAGAGAGAGAGAGAGAGAGAGAGAGTGTGTGAGACTAATGGACAGTTGTTGTTCAAAAGACTCTAGTTTAGTGTAGATGAGGTATGTGTGAATGTGCAGCTGTTTCCACAATGATATTGTGTTGAAGAACCATGGTTTCTTGTAGAATAAATAACCATTTTTCCTGTCAAAACTGAAGTTAAGACAAAATGTAAACTAACAACAGAAGTGATGGCCATCAGAATAAGGCAGTGGTGCTCACTCAACCTTCTGGCCCCATGGGCTGAAAGAGCGGTGTGAGTGCAGTCCATGCCAGACCCAACACCATGCATAGCCAGATCCAGCCACACGTTGGCCTGACCCTGCATGTAAGGCATGTCATCTGGCCTGCGGGACTCCCTACAGGTCTGGAAATTTGGCAGCAGGGGAGCTGCAATTAATGATGCTACCATGCCCCTACCACCAGATTTTCAGACCTTGAGGAGACCTACAAGTTGGATGCTGTGGCCTTGTCAGGAGTACAGGGAATTTCAGAATTTCTTTCGAGTTTATGCCAAACCTTAACCTGAGTTAGGAGTGGAAGACATCAATACAAGCTCATTAAAATCTTAAATTGTTGGGATAGGATGGTGGAGGATGTTTGTTAGGTATCTCAGGCATGCTGCATTTCCCTCTCCCTTTCCCCATTTAAGGTTCCTCATTAATGTTTGTATTTCTTATCCATAGACTTAAAGCATACCCTCCTCCTTTCACCAGAGCTTAGAGAAGAAAACCACCAGTGATTTGGGGAGTAGGGTTGGAGGATATCTCACTGCAAGTCTTTTCTGTACCTTGAAATAAGAGACTTGACTAGTGTGCCAACAAGTTTGGTTAAAATGAAGGTGGTGGAATAGGAGATACTTGTAAATGGTTGGTGTATGCATTTCTTTTCAAGAATATCATATGCAAAATCCAGGAAATTTCAGAGTTGAAGTGAAGTATATATGACACCTAAGCTTTGAGAATGTAATCTTAACTTGGAATTAGTTTTCTAATGCAGCCTTTTAATTTGACTTTTAATGTGTTTGAAAGTTAGCGTACACTTACACTGTTGACAGATGATTGTGATATTAACTTCAGGTTTACATTTTTTATGGAGAAACTTGCTGTTCAGTTCCAACAGGCAATTTTTTTCTTTATTTGAACATATTTCTACTTTTAGTTTCCAAATATTTATTTTGGGTGACAGGAAATAAGAGGCTTTCCAGTCCCTACATACATGATCCTCTAAAATTTAATCAAAATAGCAGATGATTTGTAGCAGAATAAACATTTTAACATCCTTTTTGAGAACCTAGTGTCCGAGTTATCTCTGTATTTGATTCGAAAGCCGGTAAAAGAGCACTGTTTATTTCCACCATTTGGTTTTAAAATGCATTAACAGAACCTGGAGTCCTATCTTAATTTTAAAGCTAATTGCTTTGTCCAAAATTCCACAAGGAGTCTTGAGTAAAGCTGGGAATTGCATGTAGATTTTTCTTAGTCATAGTCCAGTCTTTTGAGCATAAAATCCTCTTCCAGAATAAATGCTCATCAGAATTATACTGTTTTAGAGGCTGGGTTACCTAGGAACTAGGTTCCTGTTTGGATGAAAAGGGTAACTATTCATTCCTTTGGCTCAAAATTTCAAAGGTTAGGTCAGTGAAGAATTCCAACTCATTAAGCAGATTTACAGAAGGAAAATTAGCCAAACTGTATTTGTCAGAGTTCCAAGTACAGTCATTTACAGAAATGTGAGAGTATTACTATCCTAAAAACTAAGCCATAACTCACAAAATGTATTTTTAATTTTCAGGACAGAAAAAGAGTTTTCGTCAGTATCACGTACAGTTCTTTGGAGATGCCCCAGAACGAGCTTGGATATTTGAGAAAAGCCTTGTGCCATTCAAAGGAAAAGACCAGTTTGAACAATTATGCCAGGAAAGTGCAAAACAAGCCCTCACAAAAGCAGAGAAAATAAAGGTAAGAGTCTTCCTGATATGAACTTGTTTACAGTTTTAGTTATTATAGAACTGTTGTTTGCTACACACTATCAAAGGGATAATCTAGAAAGATTTGCCGGCTTGTTAGCGTAGAGAATGTAATTGCTTAGACATTACTTGTTAATTTTGGTGCGCACAATTTAAGCAATTGATTCATCCATGGCAAAAAATTACTGTATTTTCCCCATATACCACACACTTTTTTTCCCTCAAAAACCAGCTGCCGGAAATTGGGATGTTCATTAGGTGCAAGAAATGTGATGAGAGCAGGTTCTGCTGTATATGGGGGGAAACCAAAAGTAAAATCTGTAGCGATCCACAGGGAGCTGAACAATGAGCAGGCTCAGCTCCCTAGCTACTGCTGCTGCTCAGTTACTTTCTACAAGGAAACATCTTACTTTCCTTTATTCTATGTATTCCTTTATTTTTTTTTATAACAGAACCATTCAAGCATAACTCACTTAAATATTTAGAATAATATATTCTTGTTTTCAATTAATGTTAGTATTTTGGAATTGAAAGTAAGCAAGTTTCTCAAATCAGCACCTCTTCTTGCAGATGTTAAAGCCTGTTTCAGGGAAACTGCGACCCCAATGGGAGATGGGCATAAAGCAAGCAAGTGAAGCACTAGGCATGTCAGTGGAAGAGCGGAAGGCCAAGTACACCTTTCTCTATGTTAGAGATAGACCTCATCTTAATCCTCGAGTGGCAAAAGAAGTTGGTATTGCTGTGGAACCTTTAGAGGAGATAGATGAATTGTCTTACGGAAATGAAGGAACCACTCAAAGTCTGAAATCAGTGAAGGAATCTGGCATTCCCAACAAGAGAAGGAGAAGGACATCAAAACTGCCTGCAGCAAATGATACTCAAGAAAGTAATGAGTCGGGGACTAAGAATACTACACCCCAAAAGGCATCTGAACAGGCAGAATCCAAAAGAGGGATAGGCTCCCCTGTCACTAGAAAGAAAACTGCAGCATCCACTCCACGAAGCAGAAAGGGAGATGCAGTGTCTCAGTTCTTGGTCTTTTGCCAGAAGCACAGAGATGAGGTTAGTACTTTTGAGCTATTACATGGTGTTGTTGACTGCTGTTGTGTTCTGTGTGTGCAGAAATCTTCCTTTCCATATCTGACAAAATACCTGAACAGTCAGTTGTATATCACTGCAGGATCCAAAATAGATTAGGTGTTTTGTACAGACATACTATGACATAGTCCTTGTCTCAAAAGACCGTACAAACTGAAGACAAATAGGTAAAATGTAATGATGGAGGCCAGGAAGGAATATGACATAGAATAGAGTGATTTATAGTATTACATCTTGTTAGTGCAATTTCCAATATTTTTCCTTCCATATACAATTACCAATTAACCCTTCATTTAGACACTGTTAGTCGGGTTTTTTGCATTTTTAAAAAATATATAAATATGTATGTTTATACTTTTTCAGCTAACTTTGTGTCCTGAGTGTCGTGTGTTGTCGTGTCCCGTTCCCGTCCCCCCCATTATCACCATTCTCTGGAGCCGATTTATTCAACATAAGAACTGCCATTTACTGGGTCACACCATAGGCTCATCTTGCACACTATCCTGTGTCACTGGCAGAGTAGATGCTGAAAGGGAGAGTGAACAGAATATAACCAGGGTTTTTTTACACTGCTCTTCTCTCACTTGCAGCCTCCAGCATCTAAGCTCTAGGAAGTTCTGATTCACAACTAATTCTCATGCTTAATAGCTACTGATGTGCCTTTCCTTCAAGAGTTTGTCCAATCCCTTTTGGAATTTAGCTAAACCATCAGCTTCCATAACATCTTTTGGCAATGAATTCCACATTCGAATTACATGCTGTGTGAAAAATAACTTCCGTTTGTTAGTTTAAGCTTAGTACCTACTAATTTCATTCTTATGACCTCTAGCTCTTCTGTTGTGAGAGAGAGTAAATAATAAATCCCAGTTTACATTCTCTTTACCATGTAGTATTTTGTAAACCCTTATCATGCCCCCCCCCAAATCAATCATTTATATTCTAAACTGAATAGACCTAGCCTCTTTAGTCAAACCCCTCTATACCACTAATCATCCTTGTTGTCCTTCTTTGTATTTCTTCCAGTTCAGGACATAATGTTATTTTCTGTTTTATTTACCATGACATGTTCCCCAGTCTTCCAACTTCCAGAGTTAGGGAACTCTGTGTCCCTAATTAGAATCTCTTTTTCCACCCTTGGGAAACAAATTACAGTCTTTTAAAAGAAACCCTCAACCGGTATCTCTCCATGGAGGTAGCCATTTTCTAATGGTGAGGAGTCTACTAGGACAGGAATTATATCCTCCTGGTATCTTCCTAATTCACTCTGGACAAGGATAGCCCCGTGCATTTAAATGGTAGTATTGTCCTGTCCCATAGGAATTATGCATGTAAAGAGAAAAATCTCTCTCTTAGGTTTCAGTCCACTGCCTTAAACACTCCTTTTCTTCCTCCTCCTCCTCTTCCTCATGCATTGTCCATTTTGGGTGCTGAGTGAAGTATGGGCCCTGTAAAACAAAGAGCATTTTCTCCTGTACTTTCTTATAACACAATATAGGGAGATCAAGTTAAAATTACTCTGGTGGCACAAATCCTGCCACTTTCTAACTTTTGAGTGCTTGACTTTTCCTTAACGTTCTTTTAACATCATTATTTTAATAGAAATACTTCAGCTTTAAAAAAAAGCTGTAAAACCAGGTTTTATCCTGTGTAGTTATATTGACCAGTCCAGTTCACAGCACTGGAACTTGAGTCCACAACCTTTTTAGAACTTGCTTTCCCTCTCTGTTGTCATGTTAGTAGATGTGAACAGGACACACACTTAGCTGATAGCTTAAGCAATTCTTTGCTAGACAGCCCAAGAATACTGGCAGTCCACTTTCCCAAATCAGTACCTACCTGTATTCTCTTAACACCTAGCTTCTCTAAATAATCCCTGGCCTATTCTCCACTACTGTATCTCCTTGTCTTCTTCCCTGGCTTTGCTCTCACCTGCAGTCATCACCTGGTAGCTGAATATTCATAAAGACTAAAGTAAAAAAAAAAAAAAAGGCATTAAATACTTCATTTCTCTCTACACCTGTAACTAGGTTGACCTCTGCATTCATTAAGCAATCTACACTTTCTTTGATTGTCCTCTTAATTTGACATACTTGTAGATTTTCCCCCCCCCTTTTTGCCTTTTACATCCCTTTCTTGTTGCATCTCAGATCATGCCTTGGCCTCCCTGATTGTCTTTCTGCATGCCTGTGATACCCTTATCCTTAGTAACATAATCAAGTTTCCTCTTTTTGTAGGATTCCTTTTTAAGTTTTAACTCATTGAAGAGATCGCTATTTAGCCAGGCTGATCTCCTGTTGCACTTTGTTTCATCACCTTAGGATAGCTTGCTCCTGCACCCTTAGTAAGGCCTTCTTAAAGTTCAGGAGAACTGGCTGTGTACTCTTCTTCCTCTCAGACTTGCCTCCCAGTGGATCCTGCCCCCTCCCCCAGTTTGTTAAAGTCTTCTTTTCTGAAGTCCAGTGTCTTTATTCAGCTGGCCTTCTTCCCTTCCCCACCCTCCTGATTGTGAAATCTAGCAGTTCATAGTCTGTCACCCAAGGTGTCTTCCACCTTCATATTCTCAACAAATTCCTCCCTGTTTATGAGCAGCAAGTCGAAGAGCTTGGCCCCCACCCCTCTTTTCCCGGTTGTGCGCTGATCTTGATGATGCATTTTCTTCTACTGGGGTCTTTACCCTGGACTAGAAGGTTCAGTGAGAATATCCCCTGGGACCCTGCAGCTCTAATACAGTACAGGACTCAGTAGCATAAGTAGGGCTGGGCATGAGGGGCACCAGCCCTGGGAGACGATTATGTTGGCATGCCAGAGAGTTTTCCTCACAGCAGATATAGTCCTGTGCCCAGTCGTGTACCTGGGGTGGAGAGAAGCAAATGGAGCCCAAGGGGCAGCTTCCAGGAAGCTCATGCCACAGAGCTGCTGTGGTGGACTCTTTTTCTCTGCCAGGACTACCCAGGCTCTCTGCATACAGACAGCAGCATCAGCTATGGTAGCAGTAGCAGTTGTTTCCTGTGCAGAGAGCCTGGGCAGGTAAGACTTCGCTTCTGCTGTGGTCAGCTTACCTCCACCACCACCATCTGCCACCCCAGATGCTGAATGAGCTTGCTGTGCCTCTGCCAGGACTATGCTATTTTGTTCTATATTTACACAACTTAGCTTCAAGAGTTAGATCTCTGGGAAAGCATACCACCTGCACCTTGGTTTTTTGATAGAGGTCATGGATTCTGTGTATTTACTGTTTAGCCTTATACTTATACTCTCTTCAATAAATTATTAAATTCAGAGTTTTAAATGTTTATTTATAAAAAGAAACTTTCATTTAAATAATTCTTGAAATTAGATGTCAATTAAATATTTCATTTAAAAATAGGCTTTATCAACCTGGAGATGAGATGCCATTAAATGTTAAGTTTATAACTGAGAGCCATTGTGATACTTTAAAAATTACATAAGGTAAAACGAGGAGACATTAGGTACTTAGTTTTGTCTCAGACACTTCTGTGAAAACAGTCACCCTAATATCTCACCATCTGTTTGTAATTTATCTGCGATCGAAGAACAGTCTTTGATCTATTGGTATGTCTCAGGATTTCATACTGGTAACCAATAGTAGAAGCATCTAAATGCTTCTTATATAAAATAGATTGCAACAACAAAATCCTTAGTGAACTTCAAGGGGTTTGTGGTACTTTACTTTTGGCCTTGGCAGGGATGGGGAAAGAGGAGGACACTGTATAGGTAGACTGACCTGTTTGTTTTTTAAAATAATTATTTGATTTTCCTGGTGGATTATTTGGAGTATTAAGGGGCTGCGATTAGAAAAGTGTAATCTTGTGATAGAAAGAAAAGTTTTGCACTTACTTTCTTGGACTTCATGATCTGTATTGGCCCAAAATGTATAGAATCATTGAAAATTAAGGTTGGAAGGGATCTCACTAGGCCATCTAGTTCAACTCCCTGCTCTCAAAGCAGAACCATCCCCAACTAGATCATCTCGGCCAAAGTTTGTCTAGCCAGGTCTTTTAAAAATCTCCAAGGATGGAGATTCTGCAACCTCTCGGTAACCTGTTCCAGTGCTTTACTACCCTCCTAGTGCGAGTTTGTCCTAATATCTAACTAAATTTCCTTTGCTGCAACTTGAGACCATTACTCCTTGGTCTGTCATCTGCCACCACTGAGAACAGTCCAGCTCCATGCTCTTTCGAACTCCTCTTCAGGAGTTGCTATTAAAGGCTGCTGTTAAAGGCTGCTATTAAATCCTCTCTCAGTCTTCTCTTCTCCAGACTAAATAAGCCCAGTTCCCTCAGCCTCTCCTCAGAAGTCATGTTCCCCAGGTCCCTAACCATTTTTGTTGCCCTCTACTGGACTTGTTTCAATTTATCCATATCCTTTCTGTAGTGGACGGTCTAAACTGGACACATTATCCAGATAAGGCCTTGCTAGTGCTGAATAATCACTTTCTTTGATCTGCTGGCACTGCTCCTGCTAATGCAGTCCAGTATGCCATTAGCCTTTTTCGCAACAAGGGCACACTGTTGGCTCATATTCAGCTTATTGCCCACTGTTTCTCCTAGGTTCTCTTCTGGACAGGTGCCTCTTACCCAGTCAGTCCCCAGCCTGTACCGATGCATGGGGTTTTTCCATCCTAAGTGCAGAGCTTTGCACTTGTCCTTATTGAACCTCATGAGATTTCTTTTTGTCCAGTCCTTCAATTTGTCTCGGTCACTTTGAATCCTAGGCTTACGCTCCAGCATATCTACTGCATTCCTGTATCCCCCACGAATGGCAAAATCCACGAATAAGGCACTGCGTTCATGAACGCAGTGACTGCTGCGGGGGGGCACGGCTCAGGCAGTAGCAGGAACCTGGTGGCAGCAAGCTCAGAGCTCCCAAGGAGCTCCTATAAGTGTATAAAGTGTATTTAAAATGGGGGTTCGCATTCACAAATCTTTGAAACCGTAAATGCC